AGCGAAGTCTATTCTTTTGACTATATATGGCGGATGGTGGGGGGATGATTTTCATAAAAATTTTCAAATTTTAGAAATTTTTTTTGTTACATTAATTTTTTTTCATGTTAATATTGCTCCATAAACCTTATAAGGCAATCGGAAAATTCAGGGCTTTGCCCTGATACGAGCAGTCTTGTTATTCTAAGAGGAGCACAGAAAGTTTTGTCAATTACTTTTTTTAACAGTACACGATAGCTAAAATGGTCAGTTTTGATTACTCGTGCTTGAGTTGGATCTATTCAAGTGATCCGTTGTGTCACTTGGTTTCGATGTGACCACAACATCAAATGGCGCGAGAGTGGAATCGACGAACGTAGAAAACCCAAACTTACTGATGAAACTCAGTTCACCAGATGAAAAATTTAAAAGGAAAAAAAAAGTTTCATTGTCGAGACCTGCTTTTAATCAGAGGGAGAAACTGAAGAAGTTAAAGCGCAAAATGGATCAATCATCTTACGCGCATCTTCTGAAAATTAAATTCCCCTGTTATATAATTATTTTACATGTGGGGATTATTCATTTCCATTGAAAACTAATCCAAGAACTTATCAAACCTTGCATTGAGCTATTTAGAAAAAAATATGCTCTTTTTCCTCCTCCCCCTCCTCCTCCTCCACGCCCCCCCCTCCCCCCGCGGATTTCTAAAGCTATTTTTTGTTCATATTGCCCTAATGTTACAAACATTGGCATGCCGACTAATTATGTCATGACAAACAAATTGCACCATAAACCCCTTTTGCACCATAGAAAGGATGATTATGTGAGGTGGAGGGAGGAAAAGAGCCATAAGACTTAAGATATATTACTTTAATTATTGGGTTAATTTACTAAATATAGTGTCGATTAGTTAGACGCATAATATAAAACAATTATATAGTGTGTTAATTGAAACTAATCTATAATTGACTTTTATTTAGGAATCATGGTCAATTGTTAAGCTTATAGTACAAATTATATATTAGGACCACGCAGGGCTTTGATGTTAAAAATTGGTGCAGGATTTGATTCTGGAAAGGGTCATTTTTCTTCTAAATTTAGGGGGAGGGTTCAGGGAGGGTTAAACTCAAATTCTTAAATTTGGTAAAATGTGAAAAAACTGATGATTAAAAAATCCAGCTTGATTCAATAAAAAATCAGCCAATTAGCCCGAAAACTTTTTTTTCAAATTAGTCAAATTTTTTTTTCAATTTGTTTTTGCTGAGAGTATATTAACAAAAGCCGAAAAATTAGGCATATTCGACAACAATAGTATAAACTCCAATTGCCGTTTGCTGTGCAACTAGCAAAAACAGTTCCGACTATATTCTCAGAATATTTTTTCAATTTTTTCAAATTTGTGGCGTTTTTTGCGCGGTGTGATGCAAGGAACTGAAAGAAAGTGTAAATTTTTTTCCTTTTTATTTTCCCAAAACTGTTTTTACTGGAAACAAAAAGGTTTTGAGGTGTTGCATAAAATTTCTTGGCTTATCCTTCTATATTAAGCCTACTCAATTACTCTATTTGCTCGAATTTAAACTGAAATTCAAAAGATTTCGAACGGTTTTTCTCGACACTGGGACAACTTTTTGAACTTTTTTTTCATAATTGAGAGTGAGAATTTGCGGGTAAAAAAGAAAAGAACAACCAAATACAAAGTTCGTCACCACTTTCAATAGTCGGAACAAAAGAAGGACGACACAAAAGTGTGGTTCAATATGATCTTGAAAAACAATTTTAATTTGAAATTTCAAAACGAGAACAAAAAAAAGCTCATCCAGATGTTGGCATATGAGACAATTTTAAAATGATTTAGAAAAAACGAAAAAAAAGTTTGTTCCACTTATTGGTAATAATTTTTAAACAATAAACAGCTTTTTTTTTCTATGCAAAGATTTTTTCTTTTTCTGGTTTCTTTTCAAAAAAAAATTTATCCAACAAAACTTAAAAAAATCGAATATACTATTAAAACTTTTCTAAGCAGAATCATCAAATCCATTTTTTCAAATCAAAAATATCTGAAAAAAACTCGATTCAGAAAGATAGTCAACTCAAAAACGAAAATTTCTCCAAAGTTTTTTTTAACGAAAACACTGCGTGAACTCGGATATAAAACTTCAGAAAATATTTGATCTGCTTACCCAAGAATTATTCCTCAAAAAGAAGAAAAGATGCAGAAATTACTAAAGAAGATAATAGACCGAAAAAAAAGAGTACTGGACAAATATATGCAAAGATCTTGTAAAAAACATAAACTGCTCCATAGATTTGACAAAAAATGGATAGGACAACCTCAAAACTTAAAGATGACAAAAGAGGTCACAAAACAAAACCTAGTTAAAATTTTTTTATCAGTTCTACTCGAACAAGTTTCAGAAAACACAACCAAGGGTATTTCAAACCAAAAAAGTACTTCTTATATTGTGTTACACGCAGTTCTAATAGGGCTGGGTGATAGCCTGGATTGATTTAAGTTGCATGATGTTGAATTGTAAAATTTACATAATAGTTTTTAGAGAAGTATTCGAGCGCAAAAAATCTGTTGAAAACTCCACACGCAAAAACTTGCTCGATAAAAGTATGTTTTTTTTTCTCATGAAACTGAACTATGATTTGTCTCACTCTTAGAGTTGCAATAAATAAAATTCCTCAGGAGTTTTAAAAATATTTTAATTAGTTCAAAATCTAAGCAAAATAACGGGGTTTCGTTGTCGCAGATTTTTTTGCCATCTAAGATTAAGAACAAAAGCTAGAAAAAATTTGCTCATGTATTTTTAAAATATTTCTTAAAGCTTTTTTGTTTCTAATTTTTTAGGATTGAAGACAAAATTACTGCGAAATCTTGGCGCTGATTTTTTCTTCTTGTGTTGTTAAAGATGCTTTAAAAACCCAGTAAACATTTTTTCTAATTTTTTTGTCCCGAAATTTATTTGCTTTTTAACTATAATTCGGACAACGGATAATATTTCGGACAACGGATAATATTTCGAATGAGTGTTCTGTGATCTCTCAATGGACTACAACTTTTTTTGTTCAGATTGTAAATTGTTTTTAAACAGTAACATTCTATGTGAAATTCTGCTTGAAATCTGATTTTTAAAATGTTTTTTTTTTGACAACAACAAAAACAAAAAAGGATCAATCTCAAAAAAAGAATCTTTTAGCATCCAAAATTCTATTTACCTACAATTGGGTTTGTGTGATTTAACGATATTTGAAATTGTGCACCAATTAGCTTATCTCAATTAAATTATTCTAGCATTATTTTAATTTATTGATCAAGTTCAACGCGCCTGCTCAAATTATTTATAACTTCCTGCTGATAACTTCTCAATCAGAAGATAAAAAATAAAATTGAGGAAACTTATTTGATTATAATAACTTCTCATTTGACACAAATTGTATCTCTTGGTCTTTAAATTGATTGGCTCAAGGCGATTACATAAATTCATTGGTTGAATTTTTTTTAACCACACGGGTCCAAACTGTGAACTGGGTAAGCGCTCAACTTGGTGTCTGTATGTTCCTAAATTCCAGAGACATGTCTTTTAAAATGTTCCAAATTGTAAGAGGTTTCCACCTACAAAACTTCCGTGGATTCCGTGTACAATTACCTGTGTAAACACCTGTGTAAAATTTCACACGGATTCCGCAAATAAAATTGGATTCCGAAAATTTATGCGGATTTCCTTTATAATTTCCAGAGTCTGCTTAAAATTTGCGGATTTCACGACAATTTGAGTTTACAAAATTCAAATTTTATTATTTGTAAGTGAATTCGACAATATGTTCTGGGTTTCGTAAAAGTTTGTCGCGGGTTACACAATTTTTGTTGCGGATTCCGCAAAACTGCCTCTTTTTGGAGCGATTTTAAAAAATACAGTGTTATAGCTGTTTGTTTGTAAGATCCCAAGAAGCAGAAGACAAAAAATATTTTGCAATTCTGTTTTTAGCCTGTTTCGGGTTCCGCTTACAATTCACAAAATGCACAGTTTGGCATCGCAATCAACCTGATTCGATTCCTCTCTTTCATGCAAATTTTAACTATTAATTTTGGTCTTAAAAACATCAAAACAATCTCTGAGATGTTTTGCTTTTACTAAAAAACAAAAAATGAGGGAATAATTGAGCTTGATGTAATTTTTTTGTAAGACAAAAATCATTTTTTTTTTCAATCAGCCATTTTTGACAGATTTAATTTTAATATTTGAAAACTGACAAGGCGTTGGGCTCAATTTTAAAAACAAAAAATGAAGAGTTGGAGTTAATTGTCTTGATTAATTAATATATTAATTGATACTAAATCATCACTTTGTACTTTACATAGAGTTTGGGGACTATTTGAAAAAAAAATTAGAAAAATTAGAAAAAAAAATTATTATTTTCAAATTATTTATAGACCTTAAAAATTTTTTGAAATATTTACGGCTTTGCCTAGCTATGATATAAGCAGAGTTGCTGTTTCGATTTTTTTTAAACGAAAGTAACGGGTTATTTGTGCTCGGGGTGGTTTTTTTTCTTCAGTCAAACTTAGACTTTTCAACTAGCCTTTTTTGACCGACTTTTTTTCATATCATTCCGAAGATTTTGATGTCTTGAGCTTGAAATTGAAAACATATTTCAACGGTGATCAGTTTTTGTTAATTACGGGGTTTTAAAGATTGCCATTTTGCCCAATTTTGTACAATTTCGCTCCTAGTCTCAAATCAATTATGAGAAATTAGCCTCCTTGCACCAAATTGGAACGATTTCTAAGACGGATTAAATCTCCGCTTACGCGTTAATAGGGCGAGATATATTGCGCGTTAAAATTTGGTTCAAGGAAGCTAATTTCTCATAATTGATTTGAGACTAGGAGCGAAGTTTATCACTTTGTGCTTTATAGGTCGTGTTGGGGGATGGTTTTTTCATAAAAAATCCCAATATTCAAAAAAAGTTTCATTTTATTACATTTGTTTTTTTTTCATGTTTTTAATGCTCAGAAGACCTAGAAAGGCAGTCGAAACATTCAAGGCTTCGCCCTGTTACGACCAGTTTTTGTTATTGTATATCTAAGACTTTTGCATATGGTAAAAAACTTAATCAATATGATTTTCAATAAGTGTTTTGAGAATTCCCATCAAAGCATCTTGTCTCAATCGGAGAATTGATACTTCAGCTTCGAACTTTCTCTTCATTTTTTCACTTTTCATCAAAGCTTCGGCGAGTTGCTCGTTTTCATGGTGCAGTTTGATCAACGTTTTTGCATTGGTTGATTCTTGCATGATCTAAAATGAAGGAAAATTGGAACAAATAGTGAGTTTGAATTTGAACCTACTTTGGTAATTTGAGTAAAGATAAAAGAGACAACTTTGTTTTACAGTTTCTAAAAAAACATTCAAAAAAATTGTTCAGCTTGCAAAGGGCATGCCACGCAAAAACTTTCCAAATTGCTATAAAAAGTGACTAAAAAAGAATGATAAAAAGAAAACAACAACTCAGGAAAGCTCTTTTTATTCTGAATAAAATTTGAGAAAATGTTTTTTTAAAGGTCTGTGATGCTCTAACTTCTTTTAAATTGTTTTGATTTAGTTATAAGATAGAACGACCACTCTTGTTGTTGTTACGACCATTCTCAGAAAAACCTTTTGAGTAGGGTGGGGTTTTTATAGCTCTTTATTGGCCTGGACTCAGGTTCCAAAGAAGTATGTTTCCAAAGCCTTTCTCTTAATAATACACGGTCTGAAAATATGCTGATTATTCTAAATCTTCGTGAAAAGTCTGAATAACCATTCAAGATCAGGCGCAGATTTAATATTGTTGACTAAAAACAAAAGATGTTTTGAGGCGATCCGCCGAAACTTATCAGAGCAATCGGCCGAAAATTGATTCCGCAAAATAGTACCAAAGATTCATCCTGGGTTGATCAAAAATTCTGATCATACAAATTTCGTACATAAAAAAATGCTTATCAGAAAATTTTGTAAAATTCCATAGTTACAAAATTTTAAGAAAATACGAAAATAAGCATTTTTTGTATATGGAAATTGTTGTAGGATAAGCTTTTTTTCATAAAATGAAAAGTTGATTTTTTTCTTAAATTTCTCAAAATTTTTGGGATGTGTCCGTGACCGAAAACAAGTAACTTAAGCCATGGTTCTCTCAAAACTAGAGCAACCAAAGAGTTGATAGTCTGGCATTTACAACGCCTTGTTAGCAAATTGAATTGTGTAGAAATTCTATACTGAAATGGATAGTTTTTTAAATTTTGTCAAAAAACTTTCAAAAAATATTTAAAAAAAAAAATTTTCAGATTATAAGACATTGATCAAGGCATATATAAACATGCCATGCAAAAGAAATAGGAGGTTTTAAGCTCATTTGAGAAAAGTTATTCAGAGATACATAAAAAAGTCATACAATTTTCATGTATGGAAATTGTATGATAAGCATTTTTTTCCAAGAAAATAAACATTGTTTTTTTTTCATCACCAGACTGCTTATTTGGTTCAAATAGCCGCAGAAACTAGTTCCAATCGTTTTTCAATCAATTTTTGAAATAGTATGAAAATTGTATGGCTAGCATTTTTCCATACATTTGATGTATGGAATTGTATGATAAGCATTTTCGGTGTATGGAGTTGTAAGATAAGCGATTTCGGTTTATGGAGGTCAACCCGGGATGTTGACCTCGTTTTGTAGTTTTGTAATTTTATCATCTCTGTTTAGGAAAAAAGAAAAGTTAATTTAAAACTTTCTTGTTCATTCAACTTTCTTTTGATAAATACTGATTCGAATAAGAAACTGCTTCGAATAAGAAAACAATTAGTTTTTGATAAATACTGATTTGAATATGAAACTGCTTCGAATAAGAAAACAATTGGGAGGTACATTCTGCGTTTTTCACAGCAACCTGCTGGTCTTGTTTAAAAAACTACCAAGGTTGGATTTAAGTTGCGTTCAATAGCAAAATTTCTTAAATGTCTTACTTAGCAGCAGGGGCAGATCTAGGGTTTTCTTGAGTGAACGGCGTTTTTCTTAGTTCGATAATTTTTTAAGGTCGACCTCAATTATTTTTTTCTCTCCCAAATCACTGTAAAACCCCAGTTTCCCAAACTTTTTGCACCGCAGGCAAATTAAAAAAAAACAGGCCAAAAAGGCGTTTTTAGGCCCTTTTTGGAATTTTTGAACACAAAGTTGCGTTTTTTCGGCGCGCGCTAACCCTTCAAAGTTAGTATATATTAGTACCAAAAGTGCCTTTAGAAAACTTTAGGGTTAGCCAGCCAACATTGGATGTCTTAAAGTAGTACCAAAGGGGGACACTTTGGGTCGACACTGAGTCGAATCCCTGAGGTGGGATTCCGCCCTGCTTAACAATATGGAGCCTAAAATGGACAAGTTTCAGCTTTCTATTTGGGTGTTTTTTTCTTCTCTCTAACTTCCACTCAGGCTTTTTCGCTGTGAAAAGAAAAAAGTTACTCAAAATCAAAAATCTCAAAGAAAAACATCACAACCTACAATTGATTATTGGCGCCGTAACATTTGCTTCTTGCTTGCGCATGATCTCATTTTTCCTGTATGTTACCTTAAACTTGGCTGCTTGGGATGTCTGTTCTAGATGAGCTTCTAATTGTATTATCGTCCTTTGCAACTCCAAGTTTCTCTGCGACAATGATTCAACCAACACAATCTGCTCGCCCTTCACATCAATGCTTCGTCTTCTCTGCTTGCAATAAGGTCATAAAATTGACTATCGTGAAAAAAAGAAAAAGATAATAACAAACAACTTGATAAACAAAAAGTAGCAGATTGACAAAAAGACAAAAATTAGTATTTTTATTCCGACTTTGCGTTTGGAATTTTTATGATTGGGGTGTTTTTTTTTGTTCAGTGACTTTTTCATATTATCTACAAAATATTGTTGTTTGGAAATAAAGTATGAAGATAAAAATTTCAACTGTGAGGGTTTGAAAGTTGCTGATTTAGCCAATTTGGATAATTAACATGCGTTATACTGGGTTATTGTGGCTGCGGTTTAAACCGTTCCAAGTTGAATTGAGGCAAAAAATTTTTTTCTTCGGATACGGGGGCATTGAAAGCGACAAATAAAAAACATTAAAAAATCTTTCATTTCCATTATCTTCATAGTGAAGTCGGAACATTCAGTGATTTGCCCTGAAACAGGAGCAGTATTACCAGTGGCGTGCACAGAAATTTTTCTAGGAGGGGGAGGGCGGTTTTGCGAAAAATTTTGAAAGATTTGTGGACTTTTTATGGTCGTTAATTGATTTTTCGAGCTGTATAAAAACACTACAAGGACCCTAATTGTCAAAAATTTTCTGCGCCGCAGAAAGTATTTGTCGACACAATAGTTTTTGTCAATTATTTTTGTCTTACTATTTGTTAGTTCTGAATAATTTAATCGCCCCACAGCCACAGAGTGTTTTATCATCTCTGTGACTTTTTGAAACCAAATCAAAACAATTATTTAAATTACTCTATGATATTTGTCACTGAAAATTATTAAAAACTAACTAGTCTTAATCCATGACTAAAAATTACTATAAATTGCAAAGCTGAATCCATTCTTAGTTGCAGTAAGAGAGGTTATAATAAAGATTGAAGTCAGTTGCTTTCTTCTCTCCTCTATCCTCGCGATAAACCAGTGTATCTCTAGATCTATTGAGCTAAGAAATACTGAGACTAAGACATAAGAGTTAGATTAGGATCGGCATTAGACTAAGAAGTTGTACGAACCTATCAGACCGAAAAAAAAGACGTAACGAGCAGATGGTGTACCCGTATCCAAACTTATTCTATGAGAAGGGCATCCTGCACCTAAACTCATCTGGTGCGACATCAACGAGTGTCGAGCAGATATAACAAAAAGCTAATTTTTGGAAAAACCAAATATAACGAATAAAATTGACAATCAATCATTAGCTTACTTACACGTCTCAATAAGTCTAATCGAGCCCAGCAAATTTTGAAAACCAAAACCTTCTCTGTTATTTCGAAATAAAACTTGGTTGTTTTTGAGATAAAAATTATTTCGGATATGAGTTTTTGATAAGAGACCTTGCACTCAGAATCAACATATTTCATTATCTGAGCATCATTACTACAATGTTGTCTCGTCAGTTTAAAGTTGGCTGTGAAAATTTGATGATGAGAATGCAAAATCCATTTCTGCAAGCTGCGTCTGTGAACTAAAAACTGCCCTGCAAGCCATTAAGCAACTTGCATCCAGAAGTGCTCACAATTCATTCAACAGCATTGATTTTATTTAAAATTGAGATAGTGCTTTAGAGATTTAATAAAGTTGTCTCCGAGAAAATCACTTTGTGCTGTTCTTCTGCTCACTCTTCAACTGATGAAAAAATTGATTTTTTTTTGAGTCCACAGTTCAAAATTTCTACACCTTTCGTTTGTCCAAAAAATATACTTCGCTTGACTCTGTGAAAACTTTAAATCTAAAAACGAGTAAAAAAACAAATCCAAACAGGTAGATAATAGATGCAAAGTTTTGCAAGAAAATAAACTCAATTAGATAAGTAACCGCAAAAGGTATCTGGAGAAAATCTCAAAATTAAACCAGAATGAAAATACTCACAGTATACACGGGAATACCTGCAGCCAATGGAAAAATCAATGCGCGCCGCTGAGTGTGGAACTATTGATGGTGGGGGATGGGGGATGCAAAGAATTATTGATTTATAATAAGAAACAGCTGCGGAGATAAATAGAAAAGAACCAAAACCTTATCGAGCTGCTCAGCATTTTTTAAAAACAAAACTTACTTTTTTTCGTACTGTATTTTACAATATTTTAAAAGAATGATTTTTTAATTTTTTTTTCTAGTTTTTTTCCGCTTGCTTAAGGTTTGCATTTCAATTTTAAGAAAAAAAGAATTTTTTTCAATCAAACTGATCTGTTTTCAAAAAACAAAATCGAGCCGTCCGATAACTCAATGAGCCTCTCACAAGATATGTGACTTTAAGACACTAATGATCTTAAAGTTTCTCTTAACCATCTCATCTCAAATACTGATGAATTGGAATCACTCTGAAACCCTTTCATTCACAAAGAGTGGAAGAGAGATTCCTATCACGGGACCTCTCCCCCAATAAACTTCTGGACCATCTAAACTCAAATACTGCTGGGGACTTTTGAACCAAATTCTGAATCAAGCTATGATTTCAAGTAGTATATGTGTGAGGCGATCAGAGGGGTGGATGATGACCCCCCATGTATTAAAATAGGGTATAGAGTATCCGGTCATCACCCTATGTATTGAGATAGGGAATCGATTTCACAAGGTTTAAATATAGGGATTGGGTTTCCCAATGTATTAAGACAGCAGGTTTCAGATGGTAAGGTTTCAGATGGTAAGTTTCGGAAAATTGTTCGGCGCCCGAATTTCCCCTGTATAGTGTAAAGATTTCCCTATGTATGAGAATTCAGTGTAGGGAATTGAGAAATGGTAAGATTTCAGTGTGATGGTAAGAAAAGGGTATTTCTTGGATTTTGTCTGGAAATGTCTATTTTTTTCGCAAAAATCTCAGCACGCGTTATGTAATTGAGGGGAATTACGGTTGATTGTGTAATGAAAGTATTATTTTTTTAATGGATCAAGTTAAATCAATGATAAGATGGGCAAAAATTTGGATTTCTTATCAAAAAAATTGAAAATTTTTTCAAAAAACTTCAAAATACGATAAGAATTGATGTAATTTGACTTAAAAACTGTTTTATTGGATGATCTTACTTTTTAAAACAGTTCTCAATCCAGCTGAAGATATGCTGAAACCTACTAAAACTTCGGGAAAAAATGCAATATTTTCAAGTTTTTGGAAAGATTACAAAAATTTCAAAGTTTTTGGAAGGAGTTGCAAACTTTTCAAAATTTCCGGAAAAAATTGCAAATTTTCGTAAAGAACTGCAGAAATCTCAAGGTTTTGGCTAGTTTGTTGTTGCTTTTGATCTAATTGAATAAAAAGTAAAAATGTTTAAAATTTAAAATTAAGCTCAAACTGTATTTCAATTGGCATCATGTTGAGACACTAATACAAAACTTTGAATGGAAATATGGATTTCTCCACAATTTTCTCTCAAAATATTGAAAAACGAAAAAATTTACCCTATTTTTGGCCAAAAAAGTGGTTTGTATAATGCTCTGAACAAGTTAAGTTCACATTAGCCAAATAAAAATTGATACTTCCAATTTCTCAGGAAAATAAGGTCTTTAATCGTAATTTTCGAAAAGTAAAAATTAATCAAATCTATCCAAAGTTTTCCATTTTTATTCTTTAATTTGTGCAGTTAACTGGTTTTTTGTTCATTTCAAGGAGAATTGACCTTAAAACTATCAGTTTAATTGAACAATAGGAGCAATTTTCAATGAAGTTTATAGATCAAACTCGATGATCCAGCTCCTCCTCAGTTTTTTCTCAAAGAATAACCCAAACTTGTACAAAAATTACAATTTCTGAGACGTTTTTTAACATTACAAAAATAAAAAAATTCAGATCAGTGATAAAAATTGAACAATTTACTGCTAAAATTGACTAAAAATGGGCTTTTTTTCTCTTAACACTATATTAGATTGTAAGATATTCAACAAAGTCTTCTTCAAAACTGATGATTATCTCTCTGTTGCTTCTACAATATAATTTTCATGGTTTTTCCGTAGAATTTTTCTATGTCCTAAACTTATTCTTGCTTTCTGCTTTTTCCTTGTTTTCGCTCCTGAACTCACCTTGCGAGAAAATTTAGTCAGAACTGAGGAATTTAGGAGAAAATAGTATCAATTCAACGAATAATTTGTTGGCAGAGATAAAATTAGAACTGATAACGTCTAATTATTATCATGTAACTTGTACATTTTCTCCTTTAGGTTCCCTTCTTTAGTTGTAACAGCAAAATATTTTAGCAAAAACCCATCTTTTGGAATCATAAACTATCACTTTTCTTGCAAAATAGTTTGTAAATCGCTTTTTCTTCTTGATTTTTGTCGGAAGTTTTCTCAAAAATGTCGAAGTGAGAGAGAATCGGTGCTATTTTAACGATTCGAAAGCCAATATATAATTTGAGAATATATATTTTTACGTTGACTTCTTAGAACAAATTAAGAGCAGCTCTATTTTTTATAATCTGCAAAACCTTCGGAAGTAGAATTACGCAAGGGAACTTAGTTCCATTTTTCTGCAACATTTATAACATCTACAAGATCTTTTCTCAAAAACATAGATTATGGGAAAAAAATCTTGGTGCAAACTGTAACAATTGATAATTTTTTTGCGAAATTTAATAAGCAAAAACTCAATAATTCAACGTAATTTTCTAATTGAAAAAAAAATTGAAGCTAAACAGAACTAAATTTTCACTGTGTGTCTAATGGAAAATTTTTTTGTTAAAATTCATAAAATTAAGAGATTATACATCTGGATCTGCTAGAGTATTAGTATGTTTAGAGTTTTACTGCAGGCTCCATACTATTTGCTCTAAAAAATTGTCTTCATCAATTTTTTTTATCCAAAAGAATGAAACGTAAATCTTGAGAGCAAATTTTTCATTTATGCTTCATGTATCATCTTCCAAAAGATATTGGAGTTGGGTTTACTTCTCTAAATTTTATTTTAAAAAAATCTGAATTTTGATATAAGTTAACCTACTATATCGAATGATAAAAAATTTTCCAAACATAACACTTTTATTTATGTTGGA